TATATATATATATATATATATATATATATGAAAAGGGCAAGAAAAAATTAGTTTCTGTCAGCAGCAGCAAGTATGCAATCATTGGAAACTTGAATTACCCAAATATTATTAAGTTGTATATTGAAACATTTTCTTAGCTGCAAATAATTGAGTTAATAAAAACTCTTTATAAAAACACAAAAAAACAAAGGAAGAGACTGCCTGAGTCAAGGATAACAAAGAAAATTCAGAATTGTGCATCCAAGGAGAAAGAAAGAGAAGGAAAACAGAGCCCACTTTGCAATAAATCTGTCCACTCCTTTTTCAAATGTTACGTGCCAAATTGAAGAAGACTGAGAGAGGCTAATTTACCTAGGGGTAGCATAGGATACTGGTATTAATTAAGCAGAAAGTTAAGTTAGAGCATTGTTTGCTACACTAATTGTTAATAATCCTGTGAATGAGCCTGTTCAACACACACCAGGCCATCTCCTTGTCAGTAAGTAGTCATTTTGTACTTATAGCTTTTTCATGTAGCAAGCCATCTGTTTTTGACCTTCTAAAACTAGTGCCCCAGAATACTTGAATGCCTACCTTGAAATCATTTAAACAATTTTTCATCTCGGCCACTTTTTCCTCCATTGCACACCGGCAGCTTTGAACTTTCTCCTCAAGAGCATACTCTCCATGTTGAATTCTTGAAAGTTCCTGCATTGCTTCAGTGAAGCTACTTTTAAGTTCAGAAGCCAGAGCCTGCAACTGATGAGTCAAAACCCACATGAATTCTCAGTGAGTTGGAAAACAAGATGCATTCTATTATTTAACCCATACAGTCTTCTCTTAATTATGACATTCCTCCCTAATCCAGATATGTATAAATAATAGAGGCTTGATATAATATTTGGGGATGGTGAAGGCTACCATAAAAAGTGCTAAGGTGGCATGGCTTTATTTTGCTCTTTCTTTTAAAAATATTATCTTAAACCTATTTTGGATCTTTCATTAGGATTTGTATGTTTCCTACCTCAAAATAATAATTAAGGTTCAATTTAATAACAGGAGTAGTTTGGTTGTTGAAATGAGGGTGGCGAGCTATAATCCAAGGATTGTTGATTGATACCATTGATCAAGTCTATAATTATTGTTAGGAATATAATCTAACGGTTGGGTTGACAATATATAAATCATGTAACAATGTTGTACCTGTTTCTTTAAATCATACTGTAAAATGTGATTGGTTGCTGTTTTCCTCAATCGGCCATAAAAGGGAGCCAGAGAAAGATCTTATCCATTATCTGCTATCCAACCTTTCTATCTGATTTATCAGGAAGTGAATCCAATATCTACAGCATGCCCTCTCCCACAGAATTAGACATTTCTTACAAATGGTACTAATCTTACTGATATCCACGTAATCTCTATATTTAATATCATACCTGTTTTTCTTGTCAATTACTTACTAAAATATCTTGGTTTTTCCTTTCCCCCTGTTGGGGTAGGAGGTCCCCCCTAGCCAATCTTGTCTCGATCTATAATCCCTCCAGCAGAATATGTTTCAGTGTTTAACTTTGGTACAATGACCAGTCATTTAGTATATTAGAAATAGTTTACACTCTGGAGAGGAAGGTTTGCAAAGTCTGATCAAAATGGAAAAAATTCCAGATCTGCCTCTAAACACAATCCTTGTACTCTCGTTGCCACCACCTGCAATTCAATGATGGTGCCTCAGTTGTAGCCAACAAAGTTAAGCTCCTAGCAAATCACAGGAAAAAGTTATCTTCCCTTAGCCATGCTTACATTTCAGGAAAAATGTGTGTGTGTGTGTGTGTGTGTGTGTGTGTGTG